GTGTGACTTTCAAATGACTATTTAAATTACATATTACAAATGTAATATGCCTAAACATTGGGGTTCTACTTCCCGATTGCATTTTTACGTACCAATGAAGTGTAGTTGATGACAGTTCTTCGATTCCCTAAATGCTAATCCTATATGAACTGCAAATAGTAGCTCCTCCCGGTGGGAACTAACGGGGGAGGCTACTCTGATGCAGAAGGGGACTGAGGCAGCTGGCAGTGCCACTCCTGGGAGTGCCCACCTCCTGGGAGTGGGAGGCATTTTTTAAATGCATTCGCGCTTTGGGAGAGTTGTATGATATATTCTGGGACTTAACAGCAAACAAAGCTATATAGTCACTGTGACCAAAAATGAAATAGGAGCTAAATCTTCGTGTGTTCGTGATTTAAGGTGAAGAACATCTTGGATGACATCTTGGAGAAACTCCCAGAAGAGTTCAACATGGCAGAGATCATGCAAAAAACCTCAAACAGAAGCCCCTACGTTCTTGTTTGCTTCCAAGAATGTGAGAGGATGAACCTCCTCCTGCGGGAAATCCACGTGTCACTTCAGCAGTTAGACCTCGGCTTGAAGGTAAGCTGAGGTGGGTGAGAGCTGGCTTCCCCGCATCGGAAGGTAGTCACGAGGCGGCCTTTTTCTCCACACAAGGGGGAGCTGACGCCGACACCTGCTGTGGAAGCCCAGCAGTCCGCGCTGAGTTACGACATGGTGCCAGACACGTGGAGCAAACTGGCTTACCCATCTACCTACGGCCTGGCCCAGTGGTAAGCTGCCCCGTCCAGGCTCCCACTGCCTTCGTCTGCCTCCATGCTAGTTCATTGTTCTGAAGTATTCAGCCCAAAAGAGCTATCGATTGTGCTTTGTGACTAAACTCCGTAAGTGTGCAAACTACCACCAGTTTCAATTGCGTTTCCCTAACGTGTTGCCTACTTCAAAAGCAAAAATGGATTAAAAGTCAAGATCAGAGCAAGATTCAAATTCGACCTCTTCCTTGTTAGCTGTTTGAGCCTGGACAAAATATCTGACCTGATTTCTCATTTTATCATCTGAAAAATGCAGATAATAGAATTCCCTCACTGGGGGAATTGTTGTTATGGCCATGAGAGGCAACTTGAAATTTCTCTCATGTCATTATAGACCCGCAATTTCAGTTTTTAAATAAAAGTTTATTGGCTTATATGACTGAACAGCCCACAGGTAGTTCCAGCTTCAGACTTTGCTTGCTCCAGGCCAGAACCACCCAGTAGAAGCTACAAATGGTCTGTGTTTGGTAGCTGCCTGAGCTGGAACTCAAATCTCCTAGGACAGTATTAGTAAATATTTGTTGTTTCAAATTTCATCTTATTTTCAATATTTCTATTTCCATTTTTTGCTTTTTGAAATTGTTTTACCTTATGCTACATCGTTTTTGCTTCAATTTTTACCAGTTTTTTCTACTTCTGAGCTCTTCCGATTTAATTTCCTTTTCCTTACTCAATCACTTCTAATCCTTGACCTTGTTTATACAAGGAATCACTCCCTTTAAAAAAAAACAAAACAAAACTTACTGCAAATTGTTTGGCTGTAGTATTTATCCTCTGTAGCAACCTGTTAAAGTCTTTTTCCACCCTGCTTTCCCCATCCCCTGCCCTTTTCCTGCGTTATACAGCCTCATATGTTTTCCCTACATCAGGGGTTTTTAACATGCGGCAGGGCACTGGGCCGTGTTCTCAGCTAGCGGGAGTTTTCCTTCTGGTGGCCCAGGTCTCAGGCAGACCTTTCCTGCAGGGCGTTCGTGGGGATGATCCCCATTCGGCCCGGCCTCCCTTGCCACTCAGAGCCAAACCAGGTCCCAGAAAAATCCAGGGCCAGCCGGAGTGGCCCTCACCCTGGAGAACTGCATTGCTGGCTTTTCCGCTGGGCTGTCTTCTCTGTGCTGTTTCCCCACCATCTCTAACATTCCCTAAACCTCCAACTCAAGGTTTCACGTGTCTCCTAATTTTATCAAAGACGTTCACGCTTCCTCAGAGGTAAATTGCAGGTACTTCCTCCCTGCATAACTGCTGCTGAGAGGCAAGGACCTGAGTGAAAACAGCAGTTTCTCAAACCCCAGGCATGTGATGGATAAAACAACTTCACAATAACCTTTCCTGCTTTCAGGTAATTATCACATGTAGGAAGGCTGTTGTCAAATGCTCCACTCCTCTCTCTGCCTTTCCCAGCAACACACGTCTAGTAACAATCATCGCAGCCTTCCCCTCCCCACCCCGACACAAGTGAGGGGTCTCTCCCGTGTCTTCCTACGCACCCTGCATGCACCTCCCTGCTCCATGCCGGCACCTGTCAGCCCTGATCTTACAGATCACCTGTGTACAGTCACCACATAGCACTGAGAGGAGCTAACTAACTGCTGGATAATGGAGACAAATTTTCCATATTCCCCCGTGTTTCCATATTCCCCCGTGTTTCCTGTCCCTAATACGCAATCTCTGCTGGAAAAAATCTAGCCCCTTGAAAGGGACAGCAGTCTGCAAATCATCAGGTAAGGATTTCACTGGTTCTCAGTGGGGTACCTTGCTACCACCACCCACTCCTCCCCACAGCTGACTGACTTAATCTTACTGAGACATGTCTGTCTTACTAAAAATAAAAAGCAAGCCGATTTCTTCCTACCTTCTATGAACCAGGTTTAATGACCTCCTCTTGCGATGCCGAGAACTGGACACTTGGACACAAGATCTCGCCCTCCCAGCTGTGGTGTGGCTTTCTGGCCTCTTCAACCCTCAGTCCTTCTTAACGGGTAAGGTCTGCTGCTCACAGAACCGCACCCCCAGCAGAAATCCCGCCATGAGTAGCCTTCCCCGCCCTGCTCACCGTGCCTCACGCGGTAGCCATTACAGAAAAGGTGCAGGAGCGACAGAGGAAATGGCACTCCGGGCAGGGGAACAGCAGCAAAGGGAAGGGGGCCCAGGAGCAGCCAAGTGAGGTGGGATGTGGTTCCTTCTAGCAACGGTTTCCTGCCCAGGGCCACAGTCTCTGCCACGACAGTGCCCAAGCCACCAGGCAGTACTGACCCAGTGGGCGCGGCTGTTCCAGTAAAAGCTCATTTCCAAAAGCCGCGAGGTGATCCTGCAGGCCTTCGTGTACCAGCCCTGGCTCTAACGTGGCCACACGCAAATACACAGGACCCAGCGACACTGGGCGGCGCCAGGGCAGCCTCAGTAGATGCTCAGCTTGCTGGTGGCTCCTGGGAACCGTACGGACAACTTGACACCATTCGTTCATCCTGTGCCTTCCCCTCCCACAGCAATCATGCAGACCACGGCTCGAAAAAACGCGTGGCCGCTGGATAAAATGTGCCTGACGGTTGACGTGACCAAAAAAAACAAGGAAGACTACGGCCACCCCCCAAGGGAAGGCGCCTATCTGCACGGGCTCTTCATGGAAGGTAGGCCCCGCGGAGCGCAGGGAAGGCTGTGCAAGGGAGGAGTGACCTTTGTTTCTCACTCAAGTCAGTATTTGCCCTTCGTTTACTCTTTCTCAGTATTTGCTCGCGTTAGTGGGTATTTACCTCATTTCTTGCTTTTTAAAAAATTAAATGCCAAGATGTGTATCCAATGTGAGCCATATTTTAAGGCATCTGGGGTGATGAGTTTCACTTAGATTTGCTCATGTATCTAATGTTAACACCACAGGATCATTTACAAACCTACACTGAATTGAAGTTATTCTGCTTTTCAATATAATCAATTCAAAATCTTTCTTCCACCACTTTTTTACTGCAAGACTTCTCCGAGCCTTTATCTAAAAGAGCTGATGCACATTGTAAACCTCTAAGGCAGTGGTTCTCAACCTTCCTAATGCCACGACCCTTTAATACAGTTCATGTTGTGGTGACCCCCAACCATAAAATTATTTTTGTTGCTACTTCATAACTGTAATTTTGCTACTGTTATGAATCGTAATGTAAATAACTGATATGCAGGATGTATTTTCATTGTTACAAATTGAACACTTGGAGTGCGGGAAACGAGTTAAGTCGGCTCGCGTGAATTGCGCGTACTCCGCGGGATCTCAACCTTCCTAATGCCACGACCCTTTAATACAGTTCCTCATGTTGTGGTGACCCCCAACCATAAAATTATTTCAAATATTTGTTTGTAATCCACCCTTTTGGTGGATGGAACAAAACCAAAAGACAGAGCCATCTTATATTTTGGCGGGAAATTCACCCGCATTGAACATAATTAAAGCATAGTGATTAATCACAAAAACAATATGTAATTATGTATGTGTTTTCCGATGGTCTTAGGCGACCCCTGTGAAAGGGTCGTTCGACCCCCAAAGGGGTCGCGACCCACAGGTTGAGAACCGCTGCTCTAAGGGGAGGAGTATGCATTTGTACCTGAAGAACGTTTTCAGAAATGCCTGTCCTAGTCTTGGCTAAAATGCCCTTTTTTTTTTTTTTTACAAGTGCCACACGTACACGTGTTTGAGGGCAGGTGATGGGAATGAGGTACCTGAACGTGGTGTAAGATAAGGGGCCGTGGGGAGAGAGTGTGGTGAATTGGATGGAGGCTTCTTTTACTCTGTAGCATTCAAATGCACATTACTTTTACAGGGAGGGCAGACTAGTTTGCTTTAGTGCAGCGGTTCTCAACCTGTGGGTAGCGACCCCTTTGGCAGTCAAACGACCCTTTCACAGGGGTCGCCTAAGACCATCCTGCATATCAGATATTTACATTACGATTCATAACAGTAGCAACATTACAGTTATGAAGTAGCAATGAATATAATGTTATGGTTGGGTCATAACATGAGGAACTGTATTTAAAGGGCCAGAAGGTTGAGAACCACTGCTTTAGTGTGTCTGGATTGTTATAGGATCTGTTTTTATAAAATTTACTTTTCCTAAGAGTGTAGGTGTTAAGCTCAGGAGCAATGAATGGTCTGCTTACCATGTGTGCGTGGCTAGCAGGGATCTTAACCTCCCTCTCGTACCTCAGTCCTGGCCCAGCTCAGTCAGAAAGTCACCAACAAGCAGTAACGTGACAAAACCGGAACGTTTATTGCCTGCAACCATTACAAGACGCGGCCCAACACGTCCCCCTTTGCGTTCTCTTTGCTGTAGGAGCCAGATGGGACACCCAGTCCGGAACCATTGCGGAAGCCCGCCTCAAGGAGCTGACATCGGCGATGCCAGTCATCTTTGCAAAAGCCATACCCATGGACAGACAGGAAACCAAACACACCTATGAGTGCCCTGTGTACAAAACCAAAACGAGGGGCCCCCACTACATCTGGACCTTCAGGTTGAGGAGCAAAGAGAAGACGGCCAAGTGGGTCCTGGCAGGCGTGGCTCTGCTGCTGGAGGCGTAGACGGGACCTCACTCCTCCAGGCCCGGCGAACAGTGAGGATTTTTCATTGTCATTGCGCTGTTCTCCTGCACATTTATTCTACCGAGAGGCATAAAACATTCCAGCTTCTGTAACTTTTAAGTAACTGTGCATTAACTTTTCTTAAACACCATCCTTAAAAAGTGGGGAAGAGAAGAGGCAAACGTAGGAAGAATTACTGGAAACCTAGTCAGAACGTGTTCATGAATTTTTAGCTTTCCCCAGGACAGTGTCTCTCCCATTTTCATGAAGCTCCCAGTGACAATACCACCTCGATAACAAAGGGGTTGGAAGACTCCTGGTCAGTAAGAGGGATTTTAGTTCTTGTAAGATAAGTAAACAAAATCTTTTTTAAATTAAAAATTAGCTCTTACATTCTTTTAAAATATAGAAGCAACTGGCAGCAGGCAATCCTGAATGAAGAGGCGGACGCTACGAGGCCTCCAGTGTCGGTAACGTGACAGTCCGCTTTTTGTTCATTCAAGTTTTAATAAAACAGAAAACTCTAGTACTCTCATCTGCGGTTAATTGCACTTTGTAATTTAGGGGAACATTCTGCAATAGAAATTTCCAATCACACAGAGCAGGTTACACTAGGTGGTTTGAACGATTGGTCAGGATAAGGTAAACTAAAGGTGCTGTAACAACTTGGCCTAGAGTTACTAACTGGGAGGTAAAAGGTCAAGGCAGCATCTGTAAACAGTGTCTAAGGCAAGAGCTACTTATACAATGTTTTCTCTGGAACTTACCTGCACTGTACTGTGCTTTCTAATCACCTGTGTATATAAGATTTCCTCAAGGTGCTTAGCTGTCTTCCTGAGATATCTTTGTAAGCATATAAACAATCTTAACAAAAAGTAGTATTTAGATCTACAAAGAATTTCTTTATAAAAACACAACTGTAAGACATCATAGGCACAAATGGTACATAGGGCATGTCTTGCTGGAATACACAAAGGTGAGTTGGCTGGTGGTTCTTCCTCCTCCTAATTATCTTCTACCAGCTGCTTTTGTAAGCTGAGAAAAAGGAAGGGGCAGGTTAGTGTGATAAGGAATTAATAGGAGGGGGAGGAGCACAAAGCCCCGAGCAGGCCTGACTCCTGCTTCATTGGTGGCAGGCCTCAGCTAGGGTTTGTCTCATTCTGAAACTGTGCTTTTCAAGTTTATTGGGAACCACAATTCGGAACCACAGTTCCATCTCCTCGTCCTACACCCCCCAAACCTCTCCTCTCTGCCCAGTAGGGTCAAGGCTGCCTCATCTCCATTCTGTGTTACATAGGTAGCCCCACGTTGAAAATCCTAGCAAAGAAGGAAATTTCCTAACAGGGACAACATCAGGCCCGAGTCTCTCCAATGCACAGGGCTACATCCCAGGTGGGTTGTAAGAATCAGCCTGCAACGAGGCAACCACGACCTGCCTCGAGTGTCTGCCACCTGTTTTGACTTGTGAGACTCACCTCTCCAGATACTCCTTGACGTTGTTATAACCGTAGAACTTGGCCAGATGAATGAGGATCCCTGTGGCACAGCGGCCATCGCGCCTCCGACAGTAACTGCAGTTGCAGATCCCCCGGCAGGGAGGGCACATCCACCCCTAGGAGGAGATGACGACAGGCGTCCCCGTGGTGTCAGGCCTGGCTCAGCGGGCCTCTCCTCCAGGCTTTAGTCACCTGCTACCCTTTCATACTTGTCACAGGGGGGAGGAGGATCTAACCTGTCTCCTTCCTCTCAAAAAGGCCCAGAAAGTTTGATCACCCAACATCACATATGGAGAAACACTGAAAGATGTTGGTTTTAGACAGGCCAGCTAGCATAACCGTAGACTCTGGTGAAAAAGACCAGTGAGACCTGGGTGTGAATGCTCGTGTTTCCACTTCCCATCTGTGTGCCTGTTGTTAAATCACATCACTTGGGTGGCAGTTTATAGTCATCTGCAAATTAGGGACGGTATGACGGTGTATCTACCCCTGTGACTGCCGTACAAGAGGGTAAGAGCACAGAACCCCCAGATTCCAGGTCAGACGTACCAACCATGCTACTCATTTTACAGAAGGAACCAAGGCATAGGGAGGTTCTAGACCAGGGGTGGGCAAACTTTTTGACTCGAGGGCCACAATGGGTTCTTAAACTGGACCAGAGGGCCGGAACAAAAGCATGGATGGAGTGTTTGTGTGAACTAATATAAATTCAAAGTAAACATCATTACATAAAAGGGTACGGTTTTTTTTTTTTTGGTTTTTTTTTTTAGTTTTATTCATTTCAAAGGGGCTGGATCCGGCCCGTGGGCCGTAGTTTGCCCACGGCTGTTCTAGACCTACTTCATAAGGGTAAATGAGTTAACAACCAAAATAAAGTCAGCTGCGTTAACTGATGTGAAACCTCAGAGCAGGGCCGGGCACACAGCAAGCAGTGCCTCACTGAACCCGACCACGGTAAGCAAGCTCGGCTGACCCTGGAAAGCCCAGTGCAGCCTTGGCTCCTATCCTATCCACTGATCAGCCTGCTGCTCCCTTTCCAGAAGGAAACCCTATTCTTCATTTCTCCCCGCATCTTAAGATGCAGAGAGAACGGAGAGGGTTCAGGGCTCTACAGCTACTGGTCTCCGACAAAGGGCCCAGGGAGCCCCACCGGCAGGCTCCCCGTCCCCAATACCACTCATGTCAAACGCGCACGCTGCTCCTACCGGGTCCAGCAGCGCCGACCTCACGTCCTCCCCGTAGCGATTCCGCAGGCACGGCCCACAAAACTGCCCCCGCACGCCGCCGCAGCTCCGGTTCCGACACACCGTCTTGGTGTCGATGGTCTTCTGCCGACACTGATGGCACGTGTTACCCTGAGGGGAGAAGGCGGTGAGGGCTGAGCACGGATTCACAGGGCCCCACGCTGCTGTGCACAAGCCGCACTTGCCCCTCTCCTAGAGGCAAGTAGACCATGGCACCCTCGGTAGCCTGTAAGCACTTTTAGTTCTGGGGCCAGAGAAGCCTATTCGGGCAGATGAGACGGAGCAGGGAGCCTGGAAGAAATGATCAGAGAAGCAGGAGGGGCAGGGCCCACGAAGGGGGGCAGGTGACGACGAGTGCCATGCGCCCCGACAGCATCCCTCAGCTCCGACCTGGCTCCTGGTGACTGGGAAAGCCTCACAGGTTAATACTGCCTGCGACCGTGTCCCAATCCCAATCAACAAGGTGTGTCAGACACCACAGAGCTTACCACTGAGAGGAACTTTTAACCCAATTCCTACCAAAGAGTCTCTCAAACTTGTTTCTATGGTTATATTAACCGAAAAGCACATATTTTTCAATGTTTAAAACATAAAAAAGTATACATTCAAAATAGAACTATAAATAAATGTTTTTCTAAACAATACCCCTGCACACAAACCTCTCCTCTGATGAGAATTCCTGCTCCGAGCCGCCTCCCCTCCCTGGTTACAGCTGACCCTCCAATTCAGAGCCCACGCGGTGCCCTGCGGAGAGGGTCTGGGGTGTACGCCCAGACACAGTGCACAAACAATGCAGGATTTCAAATCCTAGTGCCTTGGAGTCCCAGTGAGAATCCCAGTCCTGTGCCCTGTCGTCCTATCGAACTTACCAGAACTTTATCGTAGATTTTATCTCGGACGGTTATGGCGACATTTTCCAAGTCCTCTTCAGTGATGTCCTCCACGGGCCGAAAGGAAGATACGCGATGCCGCCGCCGATAGCCCTGGCACCTCCCCTGTGGGAGGAGACGGAGCGGAAGCTGGCGTTAGATATGCTGAGGGGTTACATGTTTTTTTAAATTTCACACTCTCAGAGTTCTAACACCATTAATTAGTGTTAACTGTGACCCTCTTCTGTTCTGAAATCTTCATTCACTGAGATGTGTCCAGCTCCTTCCACGGCAACTCTGAGGACAGGGACGTTGTTAACCACAATGAACAGCCAAACCCACCAATGGGAAGAGTCCAGAGTTCCTCCCTCCTGCCTGAAGGCACCTGAAATGCCTCAGTCCTAAAACAGAGGCTAGGAGGACTCTCCTTCCTTTCCCCCAAGCAAAACCCCAAAGCGGGCCAGAGCCTCGGCCAGGCCTGCGCTGCCTCCACCGGAGGTCCAGCTGGGGCTCCGAACCACGCGCTCCTCCTCGGGGCTTCCAGGGCGGGTGCCGCCGTCAGCAGGAGAACCACCTGGGAATTCATAAACTGCCAATTCTCAGCTGCTGCAGATCGCCTGCAGCGACTATGATGAACACCTGTGTTAGCGGACCGCCGGCTTAGAAAAAGTAACTTGTCTACTAAGGCCAAAAAATACCCCACTAATTGTCTTCCTTCTCCTGAAGCGGTAAAACTCTTCTGCAAACTGGGCGGCGGAGACGGTGAACTTCTCCAGGGCGAACTTCTCAGGCGGCCGGGCGCTCCGGGTGGGGTTCGTGCGCCTGGGGACCTGCCCCTCCGAGAAGGCCCGCCTCACGGTTTTCTTCTTCTGAAAGCAAGAGCATAGGCGTGTGCAGCTGGGCGCCTTCTGGAATACAAGCCGCCCGGCAGTCGGAATAAATAATGAAAAGGAGCACCACTTACGGAAGCCGAGCTCGGGGTTCGCACTGGGAAGAAATCAGGCACCGAGTTCAATTCCGCCAATAACTGAGCCAGCTGGAGTTCGGAACAAAGAAAGGGTGGCACATAAGGATTCCCAAGTCTCGTTCACCCAGCACCTTATCACGAGTCTTCAGTTCTGCAGCCGTGAGAAACCTGACTAACGCAGTTTACATAAGATCTTAACAGTTGTTAGCCCTTTAATCCAGGGGTTCTCAACCTGTGGGTCACGACCCCTTTGGCGGTTGAACGACCCTTTCACAGGGGTCGCCTAAGACCATCCGGCATATCAGATATTTACATTACGATTCATAACAGTAGCAACATTACAGTTAGGAAGTAGCAATGAAAATAATTTTATGGTTGGGTCACATGAGGAACTGTAGTTAAAGGGCCAGAAGGTTGAGAACCA